GCCATGGAGAAGGCGGCGGCCGCGGAGCTCCGGCAGGGCGCACTGGTGCCGCTCACCGCCATCTGCCTGGGTAAGTGCAGCGTCCTCCCCCCGCCGCTCTCCACCCCCCTGCCGAGCCGCAGCCGGGAGAGAAGGGCGCTAGTGCGGAGCCCGGGCAGCTGCGGGATGGACACACGCTGGGTGGATGCGGAGCCGGAGCGTGACGGGCACATGGGTGCCCTGGCCATGGGTGGCACTTTGGGCGCAGGTAGCCCTATGATAGCTGCGCACAGGCAGGGAGCCGTATGGGCACCCTGGTCATGGGCAGGCACCCAGCGCCCTGCCAGCCTGCCCTGTGTGTGTTCTGGGCATTGAAGGACACGGAGACACCTTGGGCACTGGCAGAAAGCTCTGACTGCAGCTTGGGCATGGGCGCACACAGGGCACAGGTGGGCACATGGCCGTGCATGCCCCTGGGGTGTGGGCAGACATGGATGAATGCCTTGGGTAGGGACAGGTAGACATGCTGATCGCAAATCGCTGCCAGACGCGCTGGGCACAGTGCTAGTGTCTGTACTTCGTGCAAGGAGACTGCAGACTGAAATGGGATCAGCTGTACCTGGTGTGGGGCATGACGTGTCTCCTGGAGCTTGGGCCAGGTTGGTGTGACTGCATTTGTTCTCAGTTGTGTTTTCTGTTTCTGCACAGATTTCTGTGCCCCTGTTTTCAGTCTAGTTTGCAGTAGCTAGAGGTTATTTCTTGGAAGTTAGCAGTATAGTTACTGTGTAAGCAAGGTGGGTGGTTTGGGGCTTGTTTATGGTTTACAAATAAGTCAGCATGGTTTCCCTTAATAGCATTTTTTATTGTGTGTGTTCTGTGCTTTACAAAAATGCCACTACCAAGAAAAACGGAATATTCTTACAAAGGTTACTAATGCTGCTGCAACCACATAAACACATAACACTTTTTATAACCAATGTTAGGTGTTATTTATTTCAACATACCTCTATGTGTGCAAACTTCTTAACAAAATACATATATTTAATAGCTTAAAGGAAAAAGCTCATAACACATTATGAGTTTGATACTCTGTTGTTAGTGAAGCACACAGTGCAAAATCTCTGGCTCTATTCGAGTTTCTGTTTAAATACCAGTGGTTTATAACATCTCTATAACATAACTTCCTGTGTACTAAAACTTGGCACAGACATTGGAGCTTGTCAAGATGGCTAAATATAAAATTTGTATAACATTTACTAAGGTTTTAACTTTGCAATTCCTCTTGACTTCAAAACTATCACTGTAACATTACATAATGCTTAGAAAGTTTACCAATATTTGGATAATTGCCACTTTTTCATAATCCATACCCTGGTCTAACTCTTGAGACATGTTGAAGGTATCACTAATTCTGCAACAGTTACAGTCCTATCATCAGAGGTTCCTACCAACTACCACTGGGCTAGAGCTCTCATCTGGTTGACAGATTAAAAATAGCAGTAGTTTAATAGTAGTAGTAGTAGTTGACAGTTTCTCTTACTCCATCATCTTCTGTTTCCCTCCTTCTTTCCCTTCTGCCTGGAGCAACTGTTCTCATCTCTACTTCATAGCAAGTTTTAATTTCTGGGAATTCAAATGCAGAATACATAGTTACTTATTTTAGATGCTTTTGTGCATAGCTGGCTGCCAGTGCCCAAAATGCCTGTGTGTCCATTAATGTCCATAGCGCTGCCTGCCCATGCCCAGGTAACTGACCCTATGTTCTAAACTGTTTTGATACTTAGTTATCTTGACATATATTTGAACTATGATGTCCTATCAAAATAAATAGTATTTTTTTTAAAAAAAAGACCTTATTTGCTAATATAATAAACTAATACTAACTTCCAGGAATCCTTAATGGTAAATAATACTAATTGTAAAAATGCATTGTATAATTCTATCCACTCCCCATGGTATGTACTCAACAAACTAACTTGAGCTGCCATCCCTAATGCCCTGGCCACACTGCTATTTTTAATGCAGTAGCTGGTGCAGAGCTGGAATATGGATGTCCACCCCAGATGGGAGTCAATCACACCTCCTAGCTGCTGTGCAGACATCCCTAGGAATATCGCTTATAATGGATTCATTTTATGTTGAACCATAATTGACTTCTGTATCTTTGGTTTTGTACCAGAGGTGAAAAGTTTTTTGGCGTCAAAGCAGAAGTTGATAAGAGCTATTTTCCAATCCAAAGTCCTCATCTTGAAAGACAGAGCTCATTGGAAGCTGCAGATTTTTAGCACCTCAGAAGACTATGCCCTGAAGCAACAAAATAGCCTATACAATAAACTTATTGCATGCAATACAAGCCCACTTACTGTGGACTGGGAAAACTGTGACTCCTTGTTTTTTCCAGCTCCCCTTTTTCATCCCATGAGTCTATCGATCTTCCTATGCGCTATTTTCCTTGCAGTTTATCTTCTATACCCATACTTTTAAGGATTCCAGTGTTATGAGACCACTAGAAGCCAGTATAGGTGAGTGTTTTCTTCTAGGCCTCTAATGTTTGTGACAGCATGTAAGTTTGCACAGCTACAACCTAACTGAAGGCAGTTTGACTTAATGTGGTCCCTTCAGTAAGAAGGAAAGGGACATTGGAAGTTATGTACTGGTTGTGCATTTGGGAAAGGTAAAATAAAACTCAAACTACAGTTCAGTCCAAGGCCCTATTTATAATGATAGTTTAATTTGAAATGAAAGCAAAGCAGCTCAGAACTCTTGGTCTCAGCCACCAAAGTCCTTTCTAGCCTTCAACAAGCTGGGAAGATAGAGGACACACCCTTCCTTTGGGTAGCCTTTTCCAGAGACATAGGTCTTTGGCTAAGCCCTATCCAAGAGACTTCCTTCATAAAATTATTTGAATCCTCATTTTTCAAGACCAGTTTAGGAGCGTTCTTTTATATAATCTCCAGCAAGCAGTCATGTGACACTAGGTCAGCTGAACCATCTCTGTGTTGAGCACTGTCTACAGATAACAACTCCCAGTGTAACTCAAGTCGTCATAGCTTAGATCTACTTACTGCAGGATCCATATTATACTAGTTTGATGGGAGAAGCTCTCCCATTGACTCCCCTTACTCATCTCATTCTGGAGTCAACGTCCAAGCGAGCCTTTAACAGGCCTTTACTAAATTGACCCTGGTGGATTGATCACGACAGTGTGATCCCGGTTGTAGTAGACTCAGAGACCGACCCTTACTGTTCAATCACTAAGGAGTCTGAGCTAAGTCTCTAAATCTGTCAGCTTTTTCCTGAGATTGGCATTGAGTCACCCTACAACTGAGTGGGCAGTGACTATCTTCAGTTTGTCTATTAGATTCTCTGTGCTTGTAGACTAGCTTTCTTATGAAAACATTTCATGAGAAGCAGAGAGGTACTCTGACCTGTGGAGACCAGGAAAATCTGAACAGAGTTGTGTGATGTGGATAGAAGAACTGATGAGTGGATGACACTGGCAGATCTGATTAGATAGGAATATGACCGAGTGAGAGCAAGCTGGGAAATACCAGACTAAGTGCCATACTCGAGCTGAGCATCAGTGAGCTTTAATAGATTACTACAGACTTGCCCTAAGATATACTTACCAACATATCACAGTACGCTAATGCTGTGTGATTATGTTATTAGTTTCACAGTATTACATATGTTACTGTACATTAATTATGTAATAAAATTTATGCTATTAATGCTATTAAAATACTTTGAAGATAATGTTAATGCTTAATAATACAAATCTGCAGCTCTATTTCTGACACAGAATACACAAACATTGTTATTCAGTTGCCCTCCTGCCCACATATTTTACTAAAATGTGCAATCCTTTTTAGATATTTAGAAAGCACTGAAGATCATTTTATTGCTTCAGAGCTTCGCTCTCCCTGTCACCAATATTCTCTCTTGGCTGTGTTCATCATAATATCACCATCACAACAATTGCAGTTTTGTGTGGTTAGTCTTCTGTTAGGGTCCCTTTCTATCTTCAGTTGTTATGGATCTCTCCCTTGAGGTAGTCAATAGTCAGCTGAAATCAGTGAGGGTCTAGCTAGCTTTTGGACTTTTGATTACAAGGGTGAAAAGTGTTCTAATTAGTGTGATCAGTGGTGGTTTTTCAGTGTGAATTGCTGTCCACAAAAAACACCACTGTTTGATACAGGGTACTGAACTGCTCTGCTGCAGTGGTGACTGGATTTGAATTGGCAACTAAGGTATGTCTAGAATGCAGTTGGATACCTTCAGCAGGCCTAAGCTAGCTGGTTTGGGCTTGTGGGAGTCAGGCTGTGGGGCTTTTTCATTGGAGTGAAGACTTCGGAGTTTGGGCTGAGCCTGAGCTTGGTCCCCAAACATAGGATGCAGCCCAAGCCCTGAAGTCTGCACTGTAATGAAATGGGCCAATCTTGTTTTTTTATTTGCAGTGTAGACCTATGCTTAGCAGCATGTCCCATTGGCTGGCCTTTGCAGTACCCTTTGTTAAGTATTTAATATTTCTGTTATGCTTGTTTTAATTGTTTTGTAAGCTCTTTTGACCAAGGGCTATTTTTTTCTTCTGTGTTTGTACAGTTCCTGGCACAGTATGGCCCTCCTCCAAGTCTAAGACCGCTAGATTCTGTTGCAGTACAAATAATAGTTGGGTGCAGCATCCCAAGTGGCTGTCTGAGAAGGAGACAAGTCCTGTTCTTCATGTTGTTTTTATTACACTTTTGTCAATAAATCCTTTTATCATAAAAGCTTTATGATTGGTTTTATTTTCCAAAGTACTTCAAAGTGGGCATTCAGAAGGGATATTGTTGAAGAAAGTTTGAGAATTTTCTGATCATATCTATTTTTCAGTGTTTCTAATGCACCTGTCACTATAGTGTCTGGGCATTGTATGTGGGTTATAGAAAACTGTCCCAAAGGGTAGTCAGGACTAGTGAAACCCCCTTATTAATGAAGCAGGTGCCTCATTTACTGTAATGTCAGTCTGTTGCTGTACCCTTTGCTACATTTAATTAATGTCTTTAGTGAATCGCTATTTCTCATCCTGTATTCTGAAACATTTTCTGGTGAAGTGAGACTTTGAAAAATGAAGATCGGTTGGGGAGTAATTTGCAGTGGGATAGCGGCAGGTATCTCCATATCTCTCATGATTAGCACTCATCTCTTTTTTGTTATACCTCTATAATGGCATTGAATAAATGGTGTGTTGGCTTTGGCAAAATCTTCTACAGAGTGACATTTGTTGGTAAGGAATAAACTTTGCTTTAAATAGGGGGGCCAAACTTTAAAATAGTATCATAATAATTAATTTCCAACATTGAAACGGGTGAAATGGTCAACTGTTGTTATGCATGTTTTTAGTGTAATAAATAACCTATAGAAGATAACTTAAAAGTAGATTGGCAATTGATTCTCTTCATAGAGTAGTTGACAGACATCTAACTTCTTGTTTTCTGGATATCAGAAGAATAGTAAATTATGCGAATTCTCAGTATAGATAAACAAAGTTCTTGTTTGAAGAATGCAGCACAAGTATCACTGCAAAGGCTTAGAAAAATTGATAGCTAACTGCTACCTCATGCCAATTAACTCTATAATGAATGCTATTTTTTGTATCTTACACAGTGAATCTCTTCCTAACTGGGAAAATAGAAAGTGCTGTTACCTCATTAGGTAAGAGATGTTTATCTTATTTCCTCCAAGCATTTGCGGTTCTTCCTATTTTGATGATGTTGCCATTCCCCCCATCCAGATAATGCTGTTGCTGAAACTGGATGACTCAGAGAAAAAGTTTAACAATGTATTGTTAGAAAGTTCTTGTTTGAAAAGTTTAAATCTCTAGATGAGTATAATACTTCACCAAAATAGACATTGCTTTCCTAGACAAAACTTTAAGCTTGAGATTGTTTGCAAATACACATTAAGATTTTTTCCCCTGAAAATATCAGTGAGAGAAACTACATTTTATTGTACCAACTTCTGCTGGTCGTATGGACAAACGTTTGAGTTTCACAGAGAGCTCTTCTTCAGGTCTGGGGAAGGTAACCATAGTGTTCAAACTAAATATAAGGTTAAACACTCCTGTGTCCCATATTGTAGGTAGCCTCAATGCTCTGATCCAGCAAGAGAAGTTGGTCCAGTATTACCTCACAAGGGGAGCTGACAGACATGACAGGCCTCTGGGCAAAGTGCGGGGGGGGGGAGAGGGAGGGGAGGAGACTCTGCATTCCTGAAAGGGGCTGGACCTTGGGCAGAAGGGGCAGGTTAATAGCGCCACTTGGAGTGTGCTTCACTCCCCCCCCCCCCTCTCAGAACCACCTGGAGCACGCTGTGCAGTAGTGATTTAAAAGGCCAAAAGCTCCGGCCACCGCTGCTGTTCCTCCCATAGCAGCAGCAACTGGAAGCCCTGGGCCCTTCTGAATCACTGGGTTAGTGGTCCAGTACCGCACCCACCTTATCTCTTCTTATATCCTGGGATTAACACAGGTACATCGACACTGCATTGAACAATGTTATGTTTTTGTAGAAAATGGGAAGCCATGAAACTCACGTATGTACAGGAGGCCCCCGACTTGCGATGCGATTGGTTCCAGGGGAAGCATTGCAAATTGGGGGCGTCGTAACTCGAACCCACATTTACGGTAGGGGGTACCGTTGTAAATGCGGGCCGAGGACGTAAGTCGGGGGTTTCCAGCCCCTTCCGCACTTACAAAAATGGTTGTAAGTGCGGGGGGGTCGGAACTTGGGTGGTCTCAAGTCGGGGGCCTCCTGTATTTACATTCTCTGAAAATACAAGAAGATCTAGAAATGCTAAGTGGGGGGCCTCTAAGCAAACTTTATTCAGTTTTGTGCAAGATGGGTATGTGTCTGACCAGCATCACAGCTAGGTAATACGTTAAATCCTGTATACCGTGCTTGTGTGGCCAGGAAACTAGACAACTGTATTCTCGAGTGTTTCACTTGTGGCTTCAGACTACTTGTAATGAATCCACGTATTCACACAGTGTACATAGTTTAACACTGATCCATTGATTCTCTTAATTTCCATGGAAGATTCCAGATTTCTGATGTTTTCTCCAGGCCTCCTGAGCAGCTGCCTGAATCTCTTGGTGAGCAGGAAGGCTTAATGGGAAGTGAATATGACTGGAGCAACCTGAGACCAAAGAGAATACAAGTGTATGTGGTGAAGCATTTTTCCCTGCATTCTGATCATGAGGTGCTTTTAGGGTACAGAGACTTCTGGTCACTGGACCCAAAATGGAAACTGCAGCTGTGAAGATGCAGCTCCTGTCATCCCATCTGTTGAGAAGCTGGACAGGTCACAACAGCCCCCCATGGAAAAAGGCTCATCCTGAAAGAGCCATCAGCCTCAGAGCTCCAGCTGCCCTGGCTTCTAAATGAACCTTGGACCTCTTCTCCAGAGGGATAGGGATTAGCTAACCACAGTTATAAACACCCTCTCTCCTGACTTCCAGGCTTGTACAGCTCATTAGAGATTTAACAGGTGATGTAGGCGCTAAGTATTTAGTTATTACTGGGTCTGAAAAAAATTGAGACCAGTTGTGTTCAAAATAGAGATGTAATACTGTAGCTGATTAACCGATTAGCAAAAGTTTATAGATTAATGCTATAGACTACACGCATTTCCCCCTTACCCCCAACCAGTAAATTTTTTGCTTTTAAAGTGTATTAGGAGCTGGAGCAGACATCCCCGCTCAGTCCTGGCTTGTGCCAGGTCCAGGAGCTCAGACTGTTCCCTCTCCCACCTCACCCCCACCCCGGACAGGTGCTGCTGCCACCCCACACTGCTGCCTCTGATACAAAGGCAGCAGCAGGTGGCAACAGTCAGCCAGTCCATGAGGGGAGCTGGTTTATAAACTGGCTTCCCTTGTGGACCAGCTCCCACCTGGCGCCCCACACTGCTGCCTCTGATACAGAGGCAATAGCATGGAGATCCTTGAGAATGGGGCTGGATTTCACTGGCTGCTGGCCCTGCCCCTGGGTACTATAAAATAGTCAAGTAACCAATAAGAATGCATGAGGTTAATCGACTATTCAATTAACTGATATTTAACATCCCTAGTTCAAAAGTTTTGTTATGAGCCATAGGTTTATGTTTTATGCTTGAGCTGCAAATAATACTTTCTCATTATTGATATAATATTCTAGTCAATAGCAATATTCAGGGCTCGCCAAGCGGCGGCGAGCCCTGCTCGCCAGCCGGATGGTTCGGCATGCTGCGCATGCGCAGACCGCGCTGCGCAGCTGTGCCGGCTTGTAATCTACTCGCCATGTGCGAGTAGATTACACTAATTGTTGAGCCCTGGCAATATTATTACTTATATCTATTATTATGAGTAACACTGAATCCTAATAAGGGCCAGGGCCCCATTTTAAGAGAAACTATTCAGACTCATAGATATGTATAATCCCAGCTCAAAAATGTTATAATCAAAATCTAAATAAAACATAATAAGTGAATGTGACAAACTATAGGAGAGAGAGAGTAGGAGGGAGAATGAAGTATCCAGAAGATAACATAATAAGCTAGTTTTTGCACAATTTAATGCTTTCAGAACAGAACTGGAGCTTGGAAGGCAGTTGTGAGTGCAATGGGAGAAGGTAGTTTCCCTTTGACATACCAGCAGAAATGTGGGTAGTTTACAAAAGTATTTAAAAATATTTTTGGAACAAAAATATTGAGCTCTAGTCAGTATTCTGCCTGAATGATTGTTTGGCTTTTGTTCTGTATCCATTACTGTATACTGTATGTGAGGTCACAACTTATTTCATTCAGAATTGCACTGCTTCTTGTTGATTTAGTTTAATTGAAAAGGTCTTGGCATTATCATTTTAAAAATGCTATTTCTGGTTAGAAGTTGGAAGCGGTAGATGGGTTTTGTTTTATGAGGAATGTTGAGATACTGTAGCTCATAGAAGTTTCAGGGTTTGGCTCAGCCTTGGTGTTGTTGGCTTCTGGCCATGCAACTGGAATGGTGGAAATTTAACCCAGAGGGGCATTATAGTGGAGTAAGTCACCTGCAACCACTTCTGTGCTTGGGGTTTGTGGGGAAGGGAGAGTGGGTCAGTATAGCTCTAAAAAATATGTTCATGGTGAAGGAGGGGCACAGCCAGGTTCCTGGAGTATTTGAGAGTTCATTCTCTGCCAGATTTATGTTAAAAATTGCCCTTCCATGGCTGAACCCCCAGTATAAGCTCATTTTGTAAACACTGTCTTCCCATGGGATTGAATTTCTCTTCTGGTTCAGTTGCTTTTGCTGAGCCAGAGGTTGCAGTTTGTGTCTTACCTCTAATAATGTGGATGGATTAATTCACTCCATGTATAATAGTGATCATAAACATAAGGGGAAACTGATGGGTGCATGGTACTATGCATTGCAATCTTCCTCATGAATATTTGGTAACAGGGAAAGTACTCTAACACAGTTTATCTGGCCAGCAGACCGTGTGTCTGTTTACATTCAGTTTGATCAGTGTAAGCCTCCACTAGGGATTTGATTCAGTATTCCATATAGAGGACATTATTAGGATGCATTTCTGTTTGAGAGAAGCTCTCTGACCTCAGATCACTCATGTCAAGATTTGCATAGAATATTTGTATACAGTTTTTTAAAAAGGGATACAAACATAAAAGATTAAGTATTGTTGTCCTAAATATTGATTTTGCTTTTAAATACAGCATTTCTGAAAATAATGTAGCATTATCTAGGGCCTACAATTCTCTGTGATGTACTGTTCTGCGTGGCTAATCTTAAAGGCAGGAAATGTAGGCTGTTCTTGGCTTTTAATAAACTCTGTTCTCATTCTTGTTCGGAATTTGCTTAAAAGATTGATCCTCCTCCCATCCTCCCAGGAGCACATGGCGCTGGGCTGCGGGGAGAGCAGAGGAGGTTTCTCACACTACCCCGTCCCCAGGCCAATCAGGGCCTGGGGTCAGAAGAGCTGCGTGAAGCTTCCTTCGCTCTGCCCCAGCCCTGCGAGGAGCCCGCGGCATTTCAAAGTGCCACGTGCTCCTCGTAGGGCGGGAGGAGGCTTCCCACGCTCCCCTGCCCCCAGGCCCTGATTGTCCTGTGGATGGGGGAGCGTGCCAAGCCTCTTCCAGGGCATGGGTGCCGAGTGGGAAGGGGAGGCAAAGGGGCTACGCCACCACCAGACCTGGGGTGATGGTCTGGGGGTGGGGTAGGCCCACTCTTCCCATTTAGGCCCCACCTCTTCCGGGGTAGTCCGGGGCTACTTCAAAAATTTTTGAAGTGTCCCCTGGGCAAAAATTATTGCCCACCCCTGCACTAAAGTAAACTTTAAACACTGTCACACACTAAAGTAAACTTTAAAAACCATAATTTCCTGATTTCAGATGCTATGTTTAGACTTCAGTGATCTTTATAACAAGTCCTATAAATACACACATTAATAACCACATCTCCATCAATCTGTTGCTGATTGCTAGAAACCATTTGTATAATTCTTAAATACCAGTTATTATTAATGGACATTTTGTCTTTGTATGGACTGCATGATTGAGTCTAAATTTATTGACATCACAATCCCTTCCAAATCATGATGTTTTAATTATGGAACTGAACAAGTGGCATACGAGGTAGTTTGTTGTACTGCTACGCTATGGTGCCTTTTTTTCCTCTTCACATTAGTATCCCTCTCACTCTGTCTTCCACTCTCTGCCCTTAACTCCTGAGTGGCAGCTTTTTAGGTTATCACTCTAAGGGCGAAAGCACAGTGAGCTTAGTTTTGAACTAAACTAGGGCTGTCAAGTGATTAACAAAATCACAATTAATCATTCAATTAATTCCAGCTGCTAAACAGTAGAATACCAATTGAAATGTAATAAAATGTTTTGATGTTTTCTACATTTTCAAATATATTGATTTCAATTACAACACATAATACAAAATGTATGAACACAGAAAACATCACAGAATCTAGAAATGTAGAATTATGTACAAAAATACCTGCATTCAAAAGTAAAACAGTATAAACATTTAGAGCATAAACGTCCATTTAGTCCTACTTCTTGTTCAGTCAGTTGTTCAGACAGCTTATCTGAGACAAGTAACATTTGCAGGAGATAATTCTTCTTGTTTACTGTCACCTGAAAGTAAGAAGAGGTGTTCACATGGCACTATTGTAGCTAACATCACAAAATATAAAAATTCACATGTTTCTTAGAACATAAAAACAGCCATAATGTGTCAGATCAAAGGTTCATCTGGCCTAGTATTCTGTCTTCTGACAGTGGTGAATGCTAGTTGCTCCAGAGGGGAATGAACAAAACAGGTAATGATTAAGTGATTCATCTGTCACCCATACCCATCTTCTGACAAAGAGACTAGGGACAACATCACAACCAATCCTGCCTAATAGTCATTGATGAACCTATCCTCCATGAATTTATCTAGCCCTTTTTTGAATACTCACAACATCCTCTGGCAAGGAGTTCCATACGTTGAGTGCATTGTGTGAAGAAGTACTTCATTTTGTTTGTTTTTAAAACTGATACCTTTTCTATTTGGGCTACGTCCTCACTACAAGGTTATTTCAGAATAACTACTCCCAGAATAACTATTTTGAAATAATGCATCCACACTACAAATCCCCATCGAAGTAGCACAGAACTATATTGAAATAGTGTGGCCACGCTCATTGGAGCCCCTTCCTCGCGGAAGCACTCTGGGCAGCTCACTTCCTGTAGCTGTTTCCTGAGGCTTGTGCTTAAAGGGGCTCCCCTCTACAGCCATGTCTCAGACTCTTCACCTTTGCCTACCTCCTTGAGGGACAGCAAACACCACGCCTCATGCTCTGGTCACCCTTGCGGATGCAGCAGCTCTTCCAGCATGGAGCTGCAAAGCACTCACTGGCTCTTGGACCTGCTGCTGCAACTCCTAGCGCAGTTTATGCAGGCTGCTCTTGTGGCACTGCTTGAGGACGACGACCAGCTTGGAATGGCTGACCACTTCATCCAGGCCCAGATGCTCCTCATGCACCACATTCCCGTCCATCTTCCCCTACACACTGTGCACCACCGCTTCTGGCACCGGGACACCAGTACCGACTGGTGGTACTGCATCGTCATGGAGCAGTGGGATGACCAGCAGTGGCTCCAGAACTCCGGCATGTAGAAGGCCACTTTCATGGGGCTGTGCGAATGGCTCGCCCCTCCCCTCCAGTGACGGGATACCCTCCAGAAGCCTGGCGCCATCACTATTTAGAAGTTTGCTACGCCGAACAGCGCCAGTTTGACGCGGTGAGATCGACCGTCAGGGTCATGCTCATGCAGGTATACCTCTCCTGCTATTGTCCCAGGAGTGTGGAGAAGCACTGCAATGGGTTCCCTAGGGAAGGGTGGGGGGAGAGGGGGAAATCTCCTCCTTCCCTGGAGGCTTTTCAGTCCTGTCTTCACAAAGCCTGCCGGAGATGGGGTAGTTGGGGTTGGTCCTGCAGTGGGAAGGGGCTTAGGCTCAGGGATCT